GATGTTTACTACTAATAACGATATTGAACTTAATATTGTTTTCAGATTGAAAATATGTTTGCATAGACCCGTTCACACAAGGGAGGAAACAGTGGATAGCTGGAACCAGGAAGGTTTACGTGTTAGTTCTACGGTTTTAAAACAATACCAAAAAAATTTAGAAAGTGCATATTGCAGAATAACAGGAAGTAGAGCAGAAATTCTCATCATCTGTTAATTTGTTCTCAAGAACAATATCTCTAGATGTGCTCGTGTTGATTGTCATGTCGGAATGGCATACTAAATTAATAGTTATGATAAAATATAATTAATAGTAAATCTTTTGAGTGTTCATGCACGTTGTTTTTAGCTTTTGCTAAGGAGCTGTTCGTGGACGATTCTATAGAATAACTTTGTTTAGATAGTCCTTTAATGGAGATTTAATGGAGAAAATATACCGTGTAGGTTTATTGTCACTGAAGTGACCAAAAGTTCTGATTTAGGACCATTAAAGGTTCAAATAAAATGTTCGTGTTTTGATTGGCCAATTTGAGATTATACAAGTGGTTGTTTGGGTGCATGACCTCTGGTAATGTACTAGTAGCTTTGTAGGTACTTTTCACTGCGGTCAACTCAGGGTCAACACTACTTCTGAATGATGTTTTGAAAGTTTACCTTTGAATTTTTGACGGGTTCTGCAACTGTGGCACCGGCATCGTGCCAAATTGCACTGCACTGATAATCCGCATCGTAATAATGTCCAGGAAGTGGCACTCGACTCAAGAAATACCCTGGTGTTGACGGCGGGACGTTGTCCAAACAACTTGCTCCGGGTGACCTAGGAATAAATTGTTACTACTTGTAGTACCTTCTGTCACTGACATGACGTTGTCGTAATATAACTGATTAAGCACGTCAATATTCTCAAAATCGAAATAAATTACAAAACTTGTCAATATGTTGAGAATGTGCCGCCGAATCTCGTTCCGAGTGCAAAGACTGCAGCACGTGTTTGACATCGCGGCAAACTACAACCGTTTTACGGCAACTGATCTGCTTCCGTGACGTAGGCTACTAATGAATATTCATACATTTTCAGCTAGGTAGTTCCCAGAGCTTTGAGCCGAATATGAAAAAACTTCACACAAATTATACTTCGGCGTCGAGAATGTCATCTTAAGGAGAAGTACTATAGACAGCCTTTATCTCAGACAGTTTTTTTTTTTTTTTTTAACGGGGACAACTTTTATCGAGTATTTTTTCATTCAATGTCGTTCAATATATATATTTGTTTATATTTATTTATTACCACTTAGTCACTCCCCGGAGAGAGTGGCAATGATTACAGATAATAGTAAAAGTAAACAGTATTAATACTGTAAAGAGCATATTTCGTGACTACTCACTCAAGCCAGTTAAAAATGTCGTTTCTGCTGCATCTTGACCACTGGAAAGCCCTCTTTCCACCAGAGTTAGTAGGAGACATGATATAGCCATCATTCGCACAACGAGATAGTTCGCCATCATGATAGATTCCCAAACTTAAAAAGGTAAAAACAAACGCAAAGTTATTCAAGAAACTAGTAATCTGCAGCGATCAACAAAATTCTGGACGGCATCAAGTTGCCAAGGGAATAAACATACATCGACTGTGAGGGCGCTCAACTAAGTTCATCACGCACCTGGCCTAATGGGGATTACTTGTAAACTTGGCATTATGTGAAGCAAATGTCTGAATGTATTCGTTTATTGTGTGTCGCCTTCTTCAACGGTTTGGGCAGACCTAATGACTTTTCATTCAGATTCTCCATCAGATTACCGGAAAAAATAAAGGTCATTTAAAATAATTATTGAACCGTTGTGATAACCGTGACCATTATTTACAATAAGCAAAACGTGGATTCCGCTATATCTTTACATACGTGTGCGCTATTTCATGTGCCAGTGTGAACACCAGACCACTTGGACCATGATCCTCTGCGATGACACATCGTTTGTCTGGATTGCAAGCTGAACCAATGCCCATCGCGTTACCAGTGACGTCATATTGATTTCCAAACCCCATATTTCGTCTGTGATGAAAAAATTACAACAATGCAGTGATTAAATTTGATGTATACACAAGGGTGGAAATGACGGGACGAGTTTGTTCATTCATTCTTCAGATTTCCATATATATTTAATTCAGGGATTACAATTTTTCTATAAAATTATAAACAGTGATTGAAAATCAGCCACAGTCGCTGACAAATAAAACAATGGTATATACCCTGTTATAAGGATGGAGATGTCAGTATCGAGTCTACGTTGCCATTCCCATGCACAGAATCGTTGTAAACTTGTCTGGACGTTTTCCAAGTGAAGGTCTTCCTGGGCCTCTTCCAGTATCCGAATGCGTTTAACATTGAGTTTCAAATCCACGCCTAAAGTAGAGTCTTTAAACAAGGCATACACCTATGTAACATTCGAAGAGAAACTATACATCAGTGTTACTTAAGTAGGATTAAAACAATATCAAAGATTTGGGAAATGACTTTTTAGAAATTGCGTATTTAACAATGAGATGAGGCAAGGGAGGGTAGCTGATACAGGTTACAGGAAATAAAAGGGAAAATTCCATTTACACATAAAGCAAATTCCTAATTACATTTTACATTTTTATAAATATACTTGATAATTTGTGTTTAAGAATCAACATTGGAAATTGCGTACGAATTACGACATTTAATGTTGAAAATGCTTCATACGCTTACAAAAAATAAGATCTTTGTACAAATTACGGACGAATAAAATAGCTGATTACATTTCACACCTTGTCCATGTCTACGATTTTACGTTTTTTATTTTTATTTATACGAAAATAAAAACAATTGATTACAGCTTACAAAAATTCCCCTTGTCGACTTCCTAACATTGGCTAGAGCAGGTAATGGTTAATGTTTCGTCCTCACTTCTTTGTTTTATGCGGATGAAACCCATCCACTGATTGTGGTATAATGATAAAATCAGTTGGCATGGCAAATCAGTACTGGAGCACTGTGAAGCCTGTAAAAGTCGTGGTGTCTAATCACCAAATCAAACATAAGGTCAACAACAAGGTCTCTTTACTTCAGATTTTTCTAAATAAGATTCTGTTGGACGAGATTCCTCGTGAACTGTACACAGTCAAAGGCTTTTATGATGTTACATGGGTCAATGGCAGGTTTTCCAGGCTATACAAAATAAGAATGCAGTTTCAAGGGGGCTCTATGTTTAACAGCTGTTTGTGAAAATTTGTAAATAGTTCTTGATAGATATTGTATTTCGCATCGTCCGTCTGCACGGTGTTGTTCCGTTCGAACATTCCTCCCTCTATAGTGCTTCGCCGGAACATTCACCTTGAAAATTGAAGATGTGTATTTCGGGAATAAACTAGTTATGATATTTTTCGGAAATTAAACTTGTAATACGCCGGCATATACCAGTAATCATCAATACGAGATGGTAATTGTAGACTTGTGTGTTTCACAGTATTCATTGAACGAATACTTCTATGTTTACAAGAAAAAATACTTTTATTGCATTACAATTTAAAACCTGATGGCAATATCAAACAGTATTTAAATATTCTTAAAAATTACTTGCGCACATCATGTTTTTTTTAAATTTACACTCCTAAATAAAAATTGTACGTTAATTTATGTTTTTTTTATACTACTGAATCAATGTGGAAAGTGTCTATATTGATAATTGAAACACGAATTCACGATGTTGATAATGAAATACAATTTTAAAGAAGAAAATTATCGTCTGCCAACCTGATTGAACGTGCTCAGTATATAGTATTCCGTATCTGCGCCATGCTGTCTCCGCAAGATCTCGTCTGCAACGATGACAACTTCGAGGTGTTTTGTTTTTTGGGTCACGGTGTTCGCATAACGTTTTCCTCTACTATGGTGACCTGTCGTTTCGTCTGCAATTAACAATTCAGTTTGAAATTTAGAATAAATACCAAAAAACGCGTCGAAATTCTAATTGAACGAGTCATTCATGGTGAACATATTTTATTGTATACCACAGCACTAAATTGTACTTGAATGGTGTACAAATGGTACAACGTTATTCCTGTTTCAAACTTAGCCATACAAACGTTCACACCCAATCTGATTAAAATATCTTTATTTTGACTTCATTTTTGTAAATATGTGTCTAATTATTTTATCTAATTTCTATCTATGTTCTCGTAGTTTAGGTAATCACCAAAGTAAAAAATAACATAATGAAACAATACATATACATAATAAAACAAATTACATGTATAATACGAATTGAATAAAATACATGCAGTAAATTACATTAAATTTTAATCAGATTGGTAAAATCAAGTTTTGTTGCCTTCCAGAAAATTAACTTTTGTTTTCTATATTTTATCAGCAATTTCGATCTAAAGAAAAAAGAATGACAGAAAAATGCGTAGGAGTAGCAATTTAAAATGAAACGTTATGGGAGTCAAAAAGACTGAATTCATGACCTCTGAAATTACAGTTTTGAAAATTGGTTAATGGGAAATTAATCCCCCAATACATGTTCATAACAATAAAATTTGATGTAGTCGGAATTGACGTTTTTACACACGTTACAATTACAAAACAATGTCCCGAAAACCAGACTTATCGAATGACACGTAGTTTTACTCTTCAAATAATACGCCATGTGCCGACATCCTTATGAAAATTAACAAACGAAACAAGTGTATCTAAACGCGTCTTACCTTCGACTCCACAAACCAACTGGGAAGCACTCCTTTTGTGCATAACGTGTGCGGGCGGTTCTCCGTCATCAGCCTCGTACTTCAGCGAGTTCTCGTCATCAGCCTCGTACTTCAGCGAGTTCTCGTCATCAGCCTCGTACTTCAGCGAGTTCTCGTCATCTATTGGCTGGACAAAGTAGTGAGCATCTTCAGTGAGCACCAATGCAGACTGCGAAAGATGAGAAATTACACATTTAAATGACTTAGTTAGCTATGTATGCATTACGGTCGTTTGCGCATTGAGTGAAAATTCTCCTCAAACCGTACTCATGATGTATATATAGTAATTGACCAGATTGACAAATTGAGAAACAAATTGTATTTTTGCTTTTCTACCACGCATACCTCCTTGCAAGGAGAACATTTCTGAATAAATTGTCACATTTATTTGTGTTCACGAAGGGTTTGTTTTGTTTCAGTAGCAAGTTCACTCGTAATCCTGACATGTAGTGTATGAAACTTAAAGCAGGAGGATCATCACCTGCGCACGCGCGAGTATTGAGTCCCAAGCGACGATAACACACGCTAAAGACTTAAAGACTCGTGGGTAGACGCTTGTTAGTAAACAACGACACGCTATAGCCATCTGACGCATGCGTGACGACACTTCCGATTTTAAGGAAGCGGGACACCTATTGTCTCGCTATACCTGGACAAGTTGAAAACGTGGAAGAGGAATTTAAAAACACTATCATGCACATTGTTTATCGATATAACAGCACAACAAGTAATGGACACATTCGTCATAGAACGACACATAAACTGGGTGTGGTACAGTGATTCAGATGATCAAAATGTCATAATTTTGTTCATTCATATCTGTTAAATTTACTGTTTCACATCCAAACTACAGCAAATGAGAAATGTTCTGTGGCGCTAGTAGTTGCTAGTCCTCGGCTGATTGGAAGGACAACGGATCCCTTGGGTTGTACTTAATTTGAAAAATTACATTAGATCTAAAAATTGGCATGATATTCGACACGTAATATTAGTACGCCAAGATGGTATGTAAATGATATTAATTAATATGCAAACATCTACAATCAAAACCAGTACGCTTGAGTTGATGGATTGGAGGCGCTTGTCCGTCCCATCATTGCGATGTGATAAAAAGCCAAACATGGCGCAAATACGTACGGTGTATAATTTACTAGTTTATAGTGATTCATCGATAGCTTCATTTAAAAATTACCTCATTACGTTTCAAACGCAAGTCACGACAGTATACCACGCCGTACCAGGCACTGGTTATGGTATTTGGACAAATAAACGAGAGGTCGAATGTCACGACTTTCCTGCCATGGGTCAATGAAAATTCTTGCACAAGCTTTTGTTTGATTTTTCCGTATCACGACACATTCGTTGTTTGTCACAATGAGTATAAAACAACTGAAACTCGAGTCTTGGGGACTTGGGGTTTAAGTAAATATATAATAACACCATTGTAAATTTGATATATGAACTAAGTAAATTTTATAGGACGCGATTTTCTATTTATTGGAATCGTATCAGTAAATTTCGCTTTTCACCAACACACGTGGTAGTTAAAGGTACGTACATCATATTTGACTACAGTTAATAAAGGCTTGCATAAAAATGACAAATTGTTGCAAATAGTACAGTTCAAATAGTATTTAAAAAATAGGTATGCTTTTTCTCATTTTGTATTTTTTGTACTAAAATTTGAAATGTTCATTTCTTATCACGGATAATTAAAAAAAGATAACCGACATTTTTCACGACCCAGTAAAATTTCCTGGTATGTTAAGAGAGCCCGTTAGCCAAAATTTTTCTTCGTATAACATGTTTGCGTAGTTACACCCTGGTAAACATTACGTCATTCACAAAATAGGTGCAACAAGGTCTCAATTTCTGTGTCACAAAAAGTACAAAGATTACATACTACCCTTCGAGGTTTGAGAGTGATTAAGGTATGTAATGTATTTCCGCATTTGTGTCTGATTTCAGATTGTGGAGATACGAACTTTTCATTATAAACATGTTTTTTAACACTTTTTTAAAAAAAATCAACTATTCAATTGGTATTTTTTACATTCGAAGTTAAGGCATCCTAAAACTGTTATTATCCGAGTGTTGGCCCCTTCTGGGCAGGAGCTTAAAATTCTCTACCATTTTAGTAATTATTTGGCAATGATTACGACGGTAAGATCAAAATGAACAGAAATATGCGGCGAGGGATTACGCAAATATGTAATTAGTCAATAATCTTTATACAATGGAGCCCCCCCCCCCCGAAACAAACATGTCCGTAGTCTGTGAATCAATTATCCAACGTAATAATGGTAACAACCTGTACTTACCAAGCCACCCGCACAAGTGTTTGCATAGGCCTTGGAGCCGTTATGATTGTTGGAAACTCCCTGGTAGTAACAGTACTGTGTGGGCGGTAGAAGCAAAGACGTGTTCGCCCAAGAGTACTGGATAACTAGAGAATCGGTGAAGAAATCATACGCAGGTTCCAAGATGAGATGGAATTCTTCATCGAAAGCACTAAACATATATTCCACTGCCTTGTTCGCATCTCCGCCATCTGGTGGTTGCCGATCCAGGTACCATGGATGAACTATCGCGTGATCTGTAATGGCTGAATAATTGACACGTTTATTACTTATATTGTCAGCCCTAAATAAGGGACAACGTCAAAAGATCGATGTCGGATAAAAAACTTATTTCCTTTAGTTTGGGGGTGGGGGATTTTGACCTCAAAAAGTTTCCATCCTACAAAAACGATTTTATTTTTTAATGAAGTCAAAAAAATCTTGGAGTATTTGTAGTTCGTTTTTTTCTATCCAATCATGGACAGAAATAACCGAAAAGGAAAAGAAAAACATCCAAGACGAGAAAATGGTTTTGTTCGAGTGTAAATCTGTGCGTCAAATGAGGTGCATTTGTAAAATCTTTTTATACCCACCCGACAACCAACTGCTACGCAATACTACTGTCAGATTATCAATTTGTATTTAATGGTGAATGTAGTCTGACGCCATGACCAATATTTATCAAGTTTCAGTGCGGGGTAGGGGGGGTTGGAAAAAAACTAAAGGAATTAAGTTTTTTATCCGACATCGATCTTTTGACGTCGTCCCTAAGAGTGAATCGAAATACCGACAAAAAAAGTACACCAATAATATAGCATATTTGTATATAAAGCGGCTTAGTCGTTTAAAAATGGAAATGAACCATGATAATATTATAAATATGTTGTTACTCGTAATGATCAGAAACAATCATCGGGAATAAAATTCTCTCCGCCAGACTCCATTGGAAAATTATGCATATCTGACGGGGGTTTCAGTTTTGAAACCCGGTTTTAAGTAAGATATATGAATCAACTACTCGAGAGTCTAACAAATACTCTCCATGTGAGCTCTTACGCGAGCAGCGAATACGTTTGGTAATTCATATTGGAACGAACCCTTGTCATTGTCCATCTATTGGGGAAATTTTTTTTTTATATTCGGTCCGAATAATTTAATTGCGTTGAAGTGAATACTAAGGCGACGCGACGCGACGCGACGCGACGCGACGCGACGCAACGCAACGCAACGCAACGCAGTTCAATGCAACGCAACGCAACGCAAAGCAACGCGACCCGATGCAACGAAACGAAATGCAATGCAAAGCAAAGCAAAGCAGAGCAGAGCAGAGCAGAGCAGAGCGACGCAACGCGACGCAACGCGACGCAACGCAACGCAACGCGTTTAAAGTCATGTTTTCTAAATTTACTGTATTTACAATAAAGGCCTCGGGCCCAAAGAGAATACATACATTTACATAGTTTCATGAGGAGTGTGCATCTAATTTCATGGCACATTAACACGGTTGTAATATAAATGAATGCCTGCATTTGTTCCGGTTGTCTAATTGTCTGTACTAAGCACCTACATTTTACTACATTGACAAGGCTATTCTGGAGCCACACACTAAGGTATAGACGTAGTTATGGCGAGAATACAGAAACAATCTCAAGCGGAACAATTACACTTCCATACACTATCACGCATTCCGATTCACCCACTCACGAGTCAAGTGTATTGTTGCATTACATTGATAGGAACGCTAACTATTCGAACTATTGACGAACCCAACAAAATACATACAATTAGGTTAATACATATGTTAAGCATATGTCTTGTTAACGCAATACAGGTAGCTCTAAGATCAATTAATTTCAATGGACGTATAAAGTCAAAATTGTAAAAAAAAAAAATCAGATCATATAAATTCCATTTCTGATACAAAATATGTTGTCTTTCCAGGGGTGTAAAATGATAATATTTCAAGTGGAGATTTACTGAAATCAGTTATCTTTTTTTTTAAATCGATAAATTGAAATTCACAAAAAACGCGATATGATATTCAATTAAATTAGCATCACCATCCAGAACTGTCGCCTGGCACAAAAACGTATTTAAAAAAAATAAATAAAAAAATTAGCATTATCACATTCAACAGAGTATTTCATGTATCGGTCACGCTACCCAAAACCATTCTAACTAAATATTTTCCACTACATCTGATTTATTACGGATTTCTGAATTCAATGCATGTAAATATCTTTATCTGAAACGGTAAGAATATTGACCCAGTTTAAGCTTGCGTACTAGTAGGCTCTATGCATATACGTGTCATACTATTAATCAATTATATAGACTGCATTATATACTTCGATTCTCGTCAGAATTTCAAGGCGAGTCGTGCTTTGTTGGCTGTACTATTGTTCTCTGGTCAACCAAGCATGGTACGTTTACGATGAACACTGAACACAATGAGTGGGATACAAGCAATTATGTTCGTCATGACACACATTTTTTCGGTAACCTGAATCCAATCCTGGTAAGATCCAGTTATCTACTGGATGTATCTGAGATACTTGAGTCATTCATTCAAATCGTGTAAGTGAACTCGTTATGCATTACAAGAACATCGTGTGCGGTGGGGGAGGGGGGTACAGCGAGTAACGTTGCGACACTTTGAAAGTAACCCAATAAATGTTTCGAATTTGCGACGTCCACGTTACCACTAATACGCATCAGGATTACAAAGTACAATCCTAAAACCACTACTCTGGCGACTAGTATTGGACAAACAATTTATCTTAAAATAACTTATTGCGTTAGTTGTGATTGTTGTTGTATTGGCCACGATTACACTAATTGACATAGTAATTTACGACTAATTTAAAAGTAAAAATAACGTATACGATCAAAACTTACCATCATTTTGGTCTACCGTTGCAGCATATTGCTGGGGGATACCATCGATGCCAACACCATACAAGTCCTGTAAGAGTAGCACATACGTACACGTTTTAATGGAATAGCATATAATTGCATGGTTTTCGTTCAGTTTATAAATATTCTATTTCATTCCATTTTACGTACTACAGAGAACATGGAACCTTCAGCGCACGGGAAAAATAATATGCAGTACTATAGGAATGTGATTATGGTGTGGCTATCTGAGATTTTGGACATTCATATATTTGTCACATTGTCACGCGTAGTTGTCAATTAGTTGTCTTACCCGTGGTAATATGGTATGGTAACATTAAAGGCGTGGATAACGCTATGAAAGCGTGACAGTCAACTAAATTCGTTAACACGATATTATTAAACCCACATGGATCCTCGAATTTATTTCTGTGTTTTGTTCATGTGTACACCGAATAATAACGGTAGCGATATTTGGATACCGCTGCTGATCAATTGAATTGAATGCATTGTGCTGTCTGTGGGGGTCAATGGGTTGTAAATAATCCGGAACAATCTAATACCGCGTGGTATAGTAACCGTGAACTTTATCCTGAATACAAGTGCCCTGTACATGTAAATCGGGGTCTTGTTCAAGTCACGGTTTAAGTAAGGGGACAGCGAGTTGATTTACGTTAACATCAAAACAAACGTATATTTAAATTAAACATTAAATGGGCTTGCTAAACTACGCCACGCCTATTATAATTTTTATTATTATTATTATTATTCCATTCTGATCTGATCTGATCTGATCTGATTGACGAGAAAGTGAATATGACCTAGAAAACATTCACCTTGCATTATAAATCGATTTCATTATATAGTGTTATTCTACAAGTGGTAGACCGACTAATACGATCTATTCACAACAAACTTGAACTATCCAATCACTATTCATGTTATTGTACGATGTGTACATGTGACCATTGTCAATGAAGTTCGTAACTTAGTTCATTGTTGTATGTGAATCGGTACAACATTCACAAGGTAAGTATACATAACATGGGAGTCTAAACACGGGGCCGGATTATTACAACGCGGGTTTATCCAATGACCACCAGTATTCAAACATTGTGACTAATGAAATATCATGATATCGTACGAAAATACGCATGCGCAGCTACGCCCAACTCGTTCTGTTGAAAATGATGCGCATCTCACTGCATTTGTCAGTTCATCAAATTATAATGGATGATCGTAGTTACTATGGCAACATTGTCTGTGAAATGTCATGGCCTAAGCTGTTTTTTCTAAATCTGCTGCAGTTTTCTTTTTTGCGAAATGCTATCTCTGACCTCAGTGAGCACCTGAGCTTATTGCACTTTGTGGTCAGTTGAAAGGCCAAGTACACTAGATTTTAAGGTATAGTCACTTACGAATGAAATCGATCGAAAGATTACGATATTAACAGTGTTCACAAATCTCAGAAGATGGTCACCGCCCTAATTCTTACAAAAAATGGGTCAATAACCGACACGAAGCATTATTTTGGGGCAGTTTCAGAGTTGGTTTCGATTGCCATTTTTAACAAATTTCACAACTTATCATGTAGATAAATTATGTGAAAAAATAAAATTTTAATCATAGTTGTTTGGACGAATGGCGTTAACAAATATCGCCAATCGGTGGGATGGGATCACGAGTGCGTAAATAAATTTAACATACAAGACCAGTAATGAAACAAATACAGTTATTGGATTACAATAGAGAACTGGTAAACAAAAGACAAATAAAGGGGTGTCTAGCGAAACGATGGTATCCCATAACGCAATATGCAGTCCCAGGTATTGACAGTCTCCCAATTCCATTTCCCGAATCATTTCAACGAACGGGTGATATACTAATAATTCGCCCGATGACGCTTGTTAGAGGGGGGGGGGGGGGTTAAGTTAACGCCATTAAGAAAAGTTTGTACAATAACATCAAAACATTGTACAATCTGTGGTTGTCTAAAGTTGTAAGGTGATTCCATCTGTAGTAATGTTCATTACGTATTATGAATGTAGATGTTTAGGAGCATACAATCGGGATATCACCCACACACGGCGAGGTAGCATGAATGGTTCAAATAATGGGGCATGTACGCCTGGGCGTGTAGCGTTTCCATTAGCTATCGTGTACTACAAGTTACTGTAAATACAGTCAGAGTATTCGGTTACTAACAACACTTATCGATGCCTTACACATGGCAAAACCACCTGTTTATAACCAGGGAGTGGCCGCCACGGAACTTTCACCGGCAGTATCGCCACCGTCGATGTTTCGGGGCGTGGAGTCAGCATCGTCTCGCATGTCCGTCGTACAAGTAATTCAAATGAACGTAACCACACACTCACCGTGTTTAGACTGTTCAGAGGTAATGCTAAGAATACACGTGGTAAAAGTGCTGCTATAAAAATAAAATAGAACCCGGTGAACGCCATGCCAGCTCAGTCCCAACGCAATGGCTGGTCACACAAATCCCAAGTAAAAAAGTTGAGGGGTACAAGGCCGTAGCTAAAATACTTTCACTCATTCATATTTAAATCACATTCTTACGGGAAGAGTCCACTCATCACAAAGGGGTGCGACAGTTGTTAATGACAGGAGGGTAAACAATGGATAGAAGTAAATGTGATTACATTTCGTTTCTACCCTGACGTTACTTAAAAGTATTAATGAAACACACACCCAGATAATCTTCTTTTTCAATGGTGTTTACTAAGTCACAGCTAAAACAACCATGGGCTACTGTCGACCAACCCAACTGGTCATTTGAATACGTTCCTATTCTGCACCACGACCGTCGGTTGTAAAATGCGGACAAGCATGAATACACATACGTGCATATTAAGCCGTGTACAGCAAAGTGTTCGTTAAAAACAAAGGCACACGTGTAGAATGACAATGATTGATTGTGCATTCTAAAATTGAGGCGGGACCGATTGTTTTGTTTTTTTCACAATGAAACAGAAATCATTAATTTGACTTGTGTCCTGAATTCGGCGAAGGGCATTTATATTGCAGCTATAAAATCGGACAAACGATACCCTAAGGGAATAAAAATCACGCCTTTGCCACATTCTTTGTTGTCATCCCCATACCCTATAATAGTTAAAACCAAATATTCGGAGAGGTCGAAGGTAACTTGACTTTATAAATTGTGATTTTATTGGCTAAAACCACTTGCATATTTCACTTTATCCGCATAATTATTATACTAAAATCATTAAAGTTTTATAAAATAAAATGATTAGTACCCTTACAACCGCACTACATCGATTTTGATCCAATTTGAACGTGTATGCAGACAAGGATGTTTTTCGCATTTACTTCAAAACTATTTTCCCGATCTTAATCCTAAATGGCTTATAATTATGATTTTCACACGGGGATGAACATTCGTGAACCAAGGTGTGAATATATATTTATGCATGCAAATAATAATAAAAAACATGAGCAAATTGGACAAAAAACAAAGTGCTATCTAACAACATATATATCGACATTTCCTTATATTTCTGATATGGTATAATCTAAGCTTTATGTTGTGGTTCGTACCACTACTATATCGTCAGATTTTAATTTTACCAGTTCATGCTTTTATCAGTAAGATATATCCGCATTATTGACAATTTGATGTGCATATGCGTGATAGTTTCAAGAATTGTTAAACATATCACCCAGAATCTTATTGATTTATGCTTTATCACTTCTTAGACGAAATCAAGTGTATATAGCCTATTGTTGAGCTCATTTCCCTGACTCAACATTTATTCACAAACTGCTTCATAAATTACCATTCACGTGATCTGGTCTTAACTTTAAACCATATTGGATTTAAATTAATTGGATACTTTTTGAAATTATAATAGGAATCTCACATGTATGCACATATTTCGGTATATTTGAATAAAATCACACCCACGCACAATTATAGCCTGTTATGGCTCAGTGATAGTTATTGCGCTAGTTATTGGCTAGCTCAATTCACACATCTCAAACACACAGTTGAATCTGGACATTTGTACTAAATATGCCTTAAGCATAACCTCTGAACACACATCTTTTCTGGAGGTAATGTTTTTCTAAACGTCAATAATTTGCAATGTTATATATCAATGTTGTTCATGATTAACTGATTCTGATGACGATGTTTTAAGGTAGCGAAAAGGGTTTGGTGACGTTTTTGATTAAAGCATTCTCTGTCTATTGTCTCATTCAGAACCGTAATTTAGTGTATATATTTCAAAAGCCTGAGTATAGAGGGACAAGTTCGCACAAGCTGGAGAGTCAGTGTTTACATAATTACCACGTGACCATAAACAATGGCAAACCTTGTGAAAATGACTAAGTCCGCGATTGCGAGAGCACAATGTGGAATTTCCGGGTGAAATTTGTGCAAGGCATTATCTGTAATCAAGTCCATTGAAATGCGTCTCCGATAATCAAAAACCTATTCTTCCGATTTCTACGCAGGTTTGTTTTTTGTCCCCTAATTATTCCATATTTGGCACCTTTAACAGACTATTATTCTATGACAAAGCATTTTCTTAAAAAACCAAGACATATTTCGAACCATCATTATCTTTTGAACTATAACTGCGAGTTTAAATGTCCTAGTCCGAACCACTAACAATTATTTGTCCAGCCTATGTGGCATAATGGATAAGGCGTCGGTCTCCAAATGTAGCGAAGTAAACCGAAGATTGCGGGTAGAGCAAACCGATATGTAATAACCCGACCAAGTTTGGGTAATACTTGCTAACTACAGTATATATAAGCTGTTATGTAAATAATAATGAACCAGCGGCGTTTGTAACACGTGGTGTAAACGTGTACATGTGTTTCGAGCTCTGTTGTTACACTGAACTCAGTCTCTCTATTCATATTGGATAGAAATCATATTTATGACACGTGATAAGGTTAGAAAACCGACCATTGATATCAAATTCCTGGTAGACCGAAGGACAAGACGTTGGCTTTTGAGCTTTGAATCGGGCACAGTCCCTCTATAGAGACTATGGTTAGGGGCTTGCGGCGTCTCGTATCATAACTTAAAAAGTTGGTATTTCTATAAATATAGAATGCCCGCAGGCAGAGCTATACTTAGAGTATGTTCGCATTGAAATAATTGGTCAGAAAACAAAGAGTTAGATCACGCGTTGTAGAATGTATGAAGCGCTGGGTATTCGTTCATGTGAAATCAAGCAAGTTATTGGGCGTCGTCGAGCTCTGTCTCAATCGGCCAATTGGTGGCGCCATCCTTTCGTAGGTACAGTCCGCCACCAAGCGGAATAAACGAGAAATATCTCAAAATCATGCACGACCTGATGTGCGTCAAAATACTGTATGCTTAGTTTTTAACTGGGTTCTGTTTTCAGCTTTTAGTTTATTCGCTACTATTAAATATGGAATATGAATGAAAGCATGTAGTTTTTACACTGTGGGGTGCATTTTTTAATACTGTATATTTCTAAATACACTGGATTACGATTTACCGTGAACTTGTTTCTTGTATCACACAGCTGGGTATTCGTTCGATGGAACAATGACATTTTCTAATACGCATGTGCAATGATTGTATTGATACGTACAAAATTCTCTGCACATGCGTAGTAGTGTTTTTTTAAACACTAACAAATATTATACAGTGTGTTAATTCATAATCCATGCTGTGTCAAACAACGACATTACAAAATACATATTTTCGTCTATATTTAATGCAGGCCGAATATTGCGAACCGACGATTGCCAATTCGAGTCACGGTCCCGCCAAAGGTAGTTCACTTTTGCGATAACTGATTAGTTCAGGCCGATATGTGAAAACCAACTTTGGGTCATACTTGCTAATTATCGTATGTATGTTATAATATATACTGGGGGTGATTACTCGTCCATGTAAAGGCAAGCTATTTATTGACGTCCTGTATGTTGTGTTGCTCCAATCAGTCAATTGGTGGCGCCACGCTTTTGTATCTACAGTGCGCCACCAAGTAGAATAAACTAGAAATACCCCCAAATCATACACGAGCTGATATGCGTAAAAGTGTATAGTTTTTAGCTGGCTTTTGAATTGCATAAACGTACATGAATGGGCCAGTCATCGCACACTCATAAACACATAAAATGGTCCAGGCTATCGACACATCAACAGTCTACTTGAAGCCAAGTACCAAGTACGTGTACGACGGAAAAATATATGTTTCGTTCCACGCTTGTCCTGGGAGTTGAATTTATATTGTATGCGGGACTGTTAAATATGCAATATGGATGAAAATTTGTAGTTGTTAACACAAAAGCTACATTGTAATTTACGATAATCAATTTCGTTCTTAACATGCTGTATCCCACAAAGATATTGAAAAACAACAACATATATTTGTACTTATGGCACTGAGTGATTGACAGTGCGAAACGCAAATTAGTGACTGCGTTGTATCTTGTGATTTCTTACATTAATGAGAGACGAGCAGTGGTGTTTGTGGCCATAACCCCTTGGACGTTTCAGTGTGTTGTTGAGAAGGTGGAGTTATTTTATGCCATGAAGTCGTAAAACAGGTGTAACTTTAACTGCTGAGTGGTCAGTGTTAACAGGTGGTGGAATAATTTGTGAATTGGGAAATTATGTCGATCTTGCCGAAGACTTCAAATTAAATTAAAGCAGACAGTGGTGTTTTCTTCACTTATTGCATATTTAATGCAGACAAGTAACACATCATAACAAGATGTAAGATATGCACATGTACACTTCCATAATCGTATTCATTAATTAAAATACTGTACCAATTGATCACATACCCACGTGGTGAATGTTTTTTTTTTATATATACAACCTTTTCCCATCTTAAATAGTATCGTTACCTCGATGTACCATCCTGTCTTGGAAACCCAGGAAGCCTATGTGACCTAATGGATAATTTGTCGGTCTCCTTTTCCTGAAGTCAATCAAAGATGGCGGGTTCTAGTCCAACTAGAGGAAGTTTTATCAATTTTATGACAACTGATGTGTTCAGGTCGACGTGTTGAAACATAACCGATAATTTGGGTAATACTTGCTAAATATCGTATAGCGAGTCAGGGAAAATTGCGATTTGTTTAGAATTTTTGTCTGGGGTCCATACAAGCAATAGAATAATTAAATTGTGAAAATACCTAGCAGCGACAAATAAATTGTTTACAATATTTTTAAAATGCTCTGGTCCATGGACTGACTTCCATAATAAGGAATGAGTATTTGAATCAGGGTTTATGTAACCTTTATTTCATTTGTTACGGTTTAACGCTTAAATGTTCTTTACCTGTATTTACCAAAATTAAATGTACATAATAAGAAATTTTATTACCACTTTAATTCCGAGTCGTTGAGTTGATGCTATCGCATCTATTGTTACTATGTCGAGTATCGGTGTTGTCATCATCAATCAAGGTGAGTTTATTGTGTTGCTATGACAGCTTCTGTGGCCTAATGGATAAGG